CTTTAAACTGCTCCAAGTTTCAACCCATTCACGGTTCATCAAACACATTGGATGAAATGTACAAGTAGCTATGTGTGATTAGTCTCCAGAGAATACCATTGCTATAGGTTGTATGAGAGATCAAGTGATCCCCAACCTTCCATTCAAGTGACTTGCATCATTGTCCGATGGTGAACGAACAGATATTTGCCTACCGTAGTCGACATGTGACTACCTTAAAGGTAACCAGATCTGACAGCTGAGTAGAGAAGAATACCAGTATTGAGGAGATCCGACGTTTGTTATCCGAGTTTCTGAACGGATTCCAGCTGACGAATCAGCCTTCGTTCAGAATTCCGCAGGGGTCTCGAGGAACTGCTTTCCTCCGAGCATCTATTAGCGCACTCCTCTTTAGTCTCCGTTCTGATATGTGGATTTCCACTAGGACAAAACATCAGTATTTGTTGGTGTTCTAATGGAGTTAGACGAGGTGATCACACAGAATTGCGGAAACTGAGGTGTAGCAACCGTCGTGCCTCTCGGTAACCAATTTTGCCTGCATATTTTATGATTCAAATAACTGATCAATTAAGTGAATTGAGCAATCCAGTAAAGGAAACACAGCTGCTGCATGTCCGTGAACTGGAACAAGACCGTATAAAATAACTATTCAAATCAGAAAGTTCGTAGAATAACTTGGAAGCCGCAATCTCACGATTTGTGTACTGACGGTCACTTTTTAAGCAATGTAGTTGACACCGAAGTGTCTTTTTCTATACAGTTGTTGTTCAGAACGGATTATCGCCAATTTCAACTGAAAGGATGAACGGTCATCACAAAATGTTACGTTCTCTGTTATCCCATTCACCATCAACTCATGTTAACTGTAGATCGCTGAAGCAACTTTGATCCAATCTGAAAGCCTAGTTTTGTGCAAGCAAGCTGAATTGTGTTTCCCTGATGTTATCGCGGTACAAACACAATCTATTGGTGGTAATCTTATCTGTTGTGAAGATTATTATTATTTATTATGATGAGATGCAATTAAATCGATTGGGATAAAAATCATGTCCTTTATCCAAGTTCCTAGGGACTAGAAGGTTGCTGCAGTTTTCTCAAAAAGAAAACAGGTATTACTTGATTTGATGTTAGGTTGTTTGCAAACAGTCACCCGAAGCAGGTGCAGGTAGTCAAACCAATCTAAGGATTCTGATTTCATCACTTTCTCAATTGTTTTTCCAAATCAACGGGCACACTATGTTAAGTTTGTTGGTGTTTACCGTTTATCGACAAAAGAAAAGGTGGTTCCGTTCTCGCTCCCGACTCGCCTTTCGTTACCCGTGAACGTCCTCAAACAGTACTTTTTCTCTCGTTTTTGTTTCTGCTCCTTCTGCTAGTTAATCGATTGTTTCATTTTGTTTGTCCTGTTCGGTTTCGGTCAGACATCGGTTCGATTCTCGGCTTGATGCGGGATCGAAAGAGAGAGAGAGAGAGAGTGCGGGGTGTGGGAACCTAGTTAACGAGGCTGTTTTTTCCTCTCTCTCGTCTCCCCACCCCTTCTCGAGTTCACTAGTTCGTTCGTTGGACCTGCTCGTTACTCACAATCCTATTGCATTACACTGCTGTATGTTCCGGTAGCCAGAATACTGGGGACTGTTTTGTTCAATCACAACGCACGCACACAAGCAAAACTTGACGGATTAGTCGCCTTATTTATCGCGGAATTTCTTTGTGCTTCCCTGCCCTGCCCTTGGAATTCTCTCCTAAGGCGTTTAGTCCTTGGGCAGAAAGCATCGACTAAATCTTAAACGTAATTCCCATACCGATTTTTTTTCAACTTGGCAATCGGTCGAAAATTCGGCTGTGTCTGGGAGTCTTGTCGTAGGTTCATGATTAAGCTCGGTACATATTTTGCATCCTCATTTCGGTTGATCATACATATAAAAAGGCACCTTCAACCAGGCACCTCTAGTTGTTGCTCTTGCTTACTTTTTATGGTACACAGTCTTGTGAGATACACATTATATAGGGTGAACCTTAAACACCTTTTGAGGACGTCGGACCATTTGAGATTGATTTTGAGCTCAATAAGGCATTATACAGCACTATGCAATACTAAAACTGCACTGTCACTCAGCCCGCGACAAACCTAGCAGCCCCCTTAGTTTTTTGCAGTATTTCGACAGCCGTGTGCAAGAGCATTAATATTGTTGAGAATATGACTAATAAGCGAATGAAATCCCTGAAACGAAAGAATTATTTGTAAATTTATTCCAACGAAGTTATGTAAAAATACCCACAAATTCCGCGGCGATAGAATTGTTGAACGCCCTTTGACCAGGTTCATTTAATCTTATATAATATGAAACGCATCGATAGTTTATCGATGCAAATTTGACAGTGTCTGGTCCATCTGCGAAGTCTTCGNGACACCATAGTGACAATTGTCATGTGATCACAGCATTTGCAACGACCTTGGAGTGGGCACCGAGACGTAAAATGGGTCTGTAGAAATCACGTTAGTCATGATGCCATGGCAGAAGCTGATGTCGAAAAAACCAAGACTGTATTTGGTGAGATGCAATCCAGCACGTAGAATNGGGCAATACAGTAGATCCACCGTAAGGCGTGAACAACGGAGGCAGGTTGAACACAATAACACTTTGGGGGAAGACAAGTACCGATTGGTGCGTGTTTCGTCGAATTGCTTAACTCTTGCATTGGCGATGAAAACGGAAGTAGAATGCGTCGGTCGAAAGCATACACCAAACGCTCAGGACAGTTTCCTGGATCAAATTTAGGAAATCAAGATGAAACATAACTACTGCAAAGTCTCAAACTGAACAGTGCTTACTGTGGGCAGAAACATGTCACATGAAAAAGACGAATGTGGTTTTGTATACGTTAGCGATAGAAAAGTTTAACTTATATGGATCTGACGCCTGTAATCATTAGTAGCATGATTTGCGCGAAGAAGATCAACACACGATCCTTTTCGATGAACCGCTGTGATCTTTTCGCTACACCGTGCGACATGCAAGCTTCATCAATGCATGTCCGTACGTTGGAGCGATATCTCCTGCCTGTGATGACGTTTACAGACCATATGTAAGCAATTTTCCAGCGCTATTATACCATATTTCACAACTCGTGTTTATCCAAATTGTGTTGCCAGAATAATGTGGCTTCTATGTAGTCCGGGTTGGGCGCCATAATGCTGTCTTGAGTGTACATGGTTCACTGTTTTTTTTTTCAAATCAAGCGCCGATTCGCCGAGGTCAGTAGTCTGAACCACTTCAATCACTAAGCAACTATGAATCATCCACTATGATTCACGTTCGCGGAGCCCTAATTTTTTTTTATTGTTATCGGATTTTCACCTAAACGTTTTTCGTGCATATTGTTGTGCACCCACAGTCAGGTTATGCGTTTTCATTAGTCAACTTTCGTTCCTCTTCACTTGCACTCCCTATTTTATAGGCTCACCAATTGCCTCCAGCTGAATTGAAAGATCGTGAAGTGATCATGATCGATATTGGCTCTCCGGAACAGTGCGAAGCTGGGAACACACCAGAGGAGGATCCGACCCAATTCCGTTCAGTGAAAACAGGCCGAGGTCCTCTGTGCCCTCTTTGGTGGACTGTAAGTTGTTTCCGATCCGAACAGGTTTCCATTTTATTGTTACTGCTTTCCCCACTTGACTGGTTTTGCCTAATTCGCCATTCTACCTGACTGCTTCAGTCCTACATTTTTTATCCGCGTGCTCAAGTTGACAATTTTTTCGGGTGAATTGGGGGAACTTATTTGGGTTTCTCGATAGATTCAGTTCATTTAAAGCTGTATCAGTTTAGTATACTTTGTCGGTTTCAAACCCCATCTAATTTCGTCCCAGCCTATTGACAACTGTACGAAGTTCTATAGGTTTTAAGGGTCTAATTTGTGTTGCCTGGATGGCAATAGCTATACTTCTTTGCTACCGGAGCTTAAATATATTACCACCTGGAGTGATCATTCACCATCATATTTTTATTCACACTTCATGGACTCTCGCACTCCGTTCCCGATTATTTTCAGATCGTGTATGACACCATATTTGAGCTATCTTGCTCGGTGTGTGAAATCATACGGTAGCATCCGATTACTTGCCAATATACTGGCACACAGATTGAGCGGTCTCTGTCAGAGTGCACACTCTTACTCCCAAATAGTTTAACAGAATGCCTTGCTGATTCATTTGACCTCAATTTGGCGGCGGGTGTGGGTGTTTGGGTGGTGTTGTGTTTGCTGTGTGCATGTGAATGTGCGCGCTCGCACCTGCGTTTGAGTATGCGTATCTGATACAGATGGTGGTGGTCGTGGTGGTGCTGTGGTGGCGGTAATACTAGTAGTAGGAATAGCAGTGCTAATGTGAGTGGGTCTTAGCATATCTGAGCAGTGCACTTCATTGATCGCCCAGGTTAAAGTGCAGCGGAGAATGGGCCTACCTCAGCAGCGCGATAATCTTCTACGGGTGTAGTTTACTCACTGATTTTTCTCTGTCTGATCAATTGTTCCTAGCTGTGAAACAGTATGACTGACGGTACGTCAGTAAAATGAATTCTACTTGACCTCATAATAATTCGACGCCTATCTTCGTATGCATTTATATGCCCATTTAGCTGTTCAAGGTTCCTCTTTTTTCTTTTCTCTAAATTATTCGCTGCTGGGTAGCTGTTTTCGTTACTGCTTAAATGATATATTCTCTCATTCCAGTTCGTTTGACTATTACCTATCGCATAGGAACACTCATTTCTATGAAACGGAAAGGGTTTGATTCTTCTCACATAAACCACAGTACTGGTTTTCGATTAGTTAGGGTTCCAACCTTAAATTTACATCGATTTCAGATACTGCTTCACGTTGTGCTTTTCCCCACCACACTTGCTAACGATTAAAAGTCGATTGCTACGAAGAATACTCCAGGCAAATCGTCGCCTGCTCGAAGAATCCTCTCCTGTAATATTTAGCGGGATACCCTGAGGTCTGACGGCAGTCATCACCATCCTTAACTGCCAAATTTGATTTAATGACACGGGGCTTCATTCCGCTCTAAATGTCACACGTTAAAACCACTTGAACGCTCTTAAAGTATCACGTCTTTGGTAACTCATCAAAGACGGAAAATGAAAAGTACTCTCGCCTTAATGCATCNATCGTTTGGTGGTTTGGAATCGATGCAAGTACGAAGTTTCTCATTGCAAGCACCATTTAACTCACTCCTGCTTATCTCTTCGCCAACTTGAATCATAGTTGATCGAAGTGAAACCTATGGATACTCTGCCAAGTGTTTCATTAGGATCAACGGAGACGTGACGCATTGTGTTGAATGATCCCCTTATTGATCCAAGGAGTGTGGGTATACTGAAAATCCCCAATGCCAAGAGTGGATATTCCTCAACCATCAACTTCTTATTGGTCGATTAGGGCTCTGTGCCACTCCTGGGATGTGAGTTTATCGATATCGTAGTTTTATTTCGTGTGATCATCAAAGGTGAAAACGAATGCTGCTTGTCCTGATGGCATCTAGCAGATTTTTGCAGAAGAGGGTTCTGCTACCTACATGGAGTAGGTAATAGAGGAGAACACAACACTGCATTCAAGATCGAATTGAACTGACACGAGACAAGCAAACGATTTGTAAATTAGCAATCACATTCTATCTTATCTGGGTCCGGAAACGGTACCGTGGTCGATTTGCCTGAACCAACCAATAATAAAACTCTCTGTCGATTCACTTGTATGATCCGCTATTTTAAATTCTTAGCAGAGTTCGCAAATTTAATGAAACTCATCCGCTGATTGGTACGTGGATATGCGCAGGTGATCAGTAATATACGTACAATCGCATAAAGCAGCTCATCATGATGTTCCCTTTATTATCATATCATAATCTCCTGTAATTACAGTTTGGTTGTTGTCAGTTTGATTTGGAGGCCGTTCTCATGCAAAGTGATCATGCTGTTGATTGTCGCGCGATGATTAATTACTGGCAACTGTGCATGGTCTGGAAAAGTTCAGCAATCATACCTTTGGTCGGTTTGTACTTGTGTACTCAGAACACAAACCGTTGACCATTGTCATGGATAAGCCACTATATCTACCAACAAGACTCGAATCGATGTCAATCTGTCTGAAAAAATGTGGACGGTTATCATCAGGGAAGTTTTCATAACTGTTATGTTCTCGCACAAGAGTCAAAGTTGAGTCAATCGTATCTGCCCTCTGCCCCGATGCGTGTGTGTGTGTGTGTGTGTGTGTGTGTGTGTGTGTTGTAACAAGAAGCGTATCCGTGCTTTTTATCTAATGCCTCAGTGCATTAATAACAACTGTTTTCCGATTTTCGCCCACTTATCTCAGTTTGAAAATTATGAAAACCATTATTGTTGACCAATTTCTTTCACACTCCAAATGGGATGAATCAGTCAGTAATCAGTGTGAATTTCCTCTGGTCCATGCCACCGGCGGTCTACTAATGCCGGTATGTCAATAATAGTCAACCCGGCGCCTGATCCTCGTAGTATAATTATTCGCGTTTTTCCCGATTTTTTTTAATCAAATCCATAGTTGCTCCTAGCCACCAGATTTCGCCCCTGAGTTCCTGGACTATTTTCTCGATCCTACCTTGTATGTCCTTACGTCCCTCCGGATTCCGTCATTCTATGCGCTCGTTTCGTTCTCCTGTTTGGTAATCTATATTCTTAAACTTCTAATCCGATGCACGCTTCTACTGATTAAATCACTCTGTACTGCTCTTTTTGCCCAGCATTTAACTATGACCGAGTATCCTGGCGACGGTCATGAGTCCTAGTCCCTATAATTCCCATCTTGAACATAACTCGGGTTCCATCACCCGTGTTCTCCTCAGTATCTCCCAGTTCTTACTTGTTCTGATTTTAATTTTAACCCGGTTTTGCTTCCTCTTTGGCTTCCTCTTTTGGTCATTTCGCTCTCTCAATCGTTCTTTAGTTCTATTGATTTTCGTGCTGCAAGTAAAATTGATTTCTTATTCCGTGTCAAACTTTTCCTTACTTCTACGCATTTCTTACTCATGCATTGCCACAAGTACCTGTATTCGGTTCATTGTTGCATACTTCAGTTACGATTGGGACAGTTCTCCGTCTTTTTATATGCCTTTCCCATCCGTTTATGTATGTTTTAACTTGGCGCCAATCAAAAGCTCATATTGATGGTCATCCGTATCAGTTGTCTATCCTCCTATGCCACACATTTCAATCTTGATAATCCCCTTTCACTGGATCACTGGAGTTGCGGACGCTCTTCATTATCTCGTCTCAAACCTCAATATCTTTAGCTCAAGAATCAACAACTGGTGCCCAACTTGAGTGTCTCACCACCTTGAACGCCTAACCCTTGTTACGGATGTCTTTAGAACACAAGATTGACTCAAGTTCACCATACATATCTAATTAATCGCAACGAAGCTGAGTTTCACTTATTCACTGAATTGAAAAAAATTCAAGGAATCCGTAGGTTGATTTCCTTTTACACACTCCATTGTTCAATGTCGACTTTTATAATTAAAAAAATATTATATGCCTTATCCTGCTGTCGCGTTTTTATCAGATTGTGAGTTAAGCTCTCTGTTAGTGTTGACTGTTCTGTGTTCCTTCAGTTTGTGGTCTCGCTTCTCGGAATTCCAGTTTGCTTTTACCCAGTTTTCGGTGTTTTTCCTATTGTTTCATTATCGTCTTGCTTTCAAGCTGCAGCTTTCCAGACAACCTTTCTGTGAAACAGCTTACTATCCGATCCGAGCGTGGTGTTAAAATAGTGAAGATTAATGAAGATGATAGTGCAGATAAGCACACAGCTAGCGTATGATACAGCTAGAAATGCGTGCAACATTATCAAGCCCACGTTTAGGAATCGATTGAAAACTGTTCAGAATACTCTGAATGCTCGGATTCCTGTGTAAAGCACGATATCACTAAATATATAACAAAATCGGATGATGCAAAAGAACGGTATTCAACAGCATTCACGATTCGGACAGTGTAATTTTTCGGGTTGACAAGAAGTACTGTTAAAGAGTTTCGCTTCTACGTTTACTTTTATGGGACCTGTTTAAAACCATCCTCGAAAAAAAGCGATTAAGAACTATTTGTGTCTGGAATATTTGTTGAGCTTGACGTTTAGGTCTAAAACACCGGTTTTTGATTCAGTCCCCATCTAACGTTACACCAACTCATCATCTGCCCACCTCCCTAATACAAACAGTTAACATGCCCTCCTCAGACCATTTCTACCATTGTTGTAAACAAATAAAAACGTGTCTGGGATTACTCTAATTGAACGTTGACTGCTTAGATCTCCGATCAGTTTAAGGTGTGCGTCGCCAATACCCAGAATCTGCCTCAATCCGATTGTTCATAAATATGTGCTATCCGCGATTCGTATCAACAGCGGTTCATCCTGCGGAGGGAGCTAGTCGTATACAAATNGCTAGTCGTATACAAATGCACTCGACTGCTGTAGGTTATTAACGAACTCCAAAGTGTTTATACGACACTACAACCATTGCATCGATGGTTTCAACAAAAGTTGCGATTCAGTTACGGCAGCCTTTTGTTTTAACCTATTGACTCTATGTTCGTTGTCAGTGTTATTATCATTATCATTATCATCATTTTTTTTACGAAGACTCGAAGTATCTTCTCTCCATTTGGTTCCTCTCAAACACCTTTTTCCAGAAAGGATATTCCGGTCCCCTGATGTGTGCTTACAAATTGGTTCGATGTGAATGTCGAGTCCCGTTCCTCCAAGGTCGACTAGAGGCTATGATTCAAAAAGTAAGTCTCAAAAACCTCATATAAGTAAAATCCCTTATATATTCCTGACAGCTTTAACGTAAGCCTTTTTTTACATCGACGAAGCATGTTGACTGTTGTACCTTTCGTAAAGTTTTATCCTTCTATTGGCGTACTCACTCCCTTATCACCCAGAGAAAACCACTAGAGATGACAAGCAGCCACGAATTATAGATACAAACGCCTGAGTTCAGACTGTACGAAACAAATCACATTGCAATAATCTTTAGGAAAGGAACAAAGTTCTATGGTTTGCTCTTGGGCGCGATATCGCTTGTTTACCCAGGCCAAAACAGGTTAAATGTCTTAGGGAATTCGCAACTGGAGCCTCTGATTAACCAAAGCTTGACCCGCAATGCAACAAGGCGGTGTGTGATAACCGCACTCCATGGGGCTTGGTGTCCAGTACATCGGTCAAGGTCCAACGTGCCCAATACACCACGATACCCAATCGAGCCAATAACCGCTACCACGATCAGAAGGGTGTGGGTAATTCGCACGCCTCTTGGTGGTTGGTTGGTGATCAGGGTTTTATCCAACTCCCCTAGGTGTACTGCCAGTGGCAGTGAGTGTGACTTCCTCTGCAGGTGCCATTTGAGGCGCTTGGTCTCAGAGAAGGATTACGCGATTCACATGGGAAGGGTGATTAATCACAACCTGAGACACTTTCTCTGGACCATGCTGAGGCTTTCAGGTGAATTGAAGATTGTACGTTTGGCCGATGACGTCGTCTTTGTAAAATTGCTGTCCATACTTTTCTGAAGCCACATCGCAGTGTTTTCAGTTATTCGATTGTGTAACTGTCTACGCAATATGCTGATAAATATGGATAACTATCTAAATTTGGTGTCTTAACTGCACCGAAATTTTGTATGTGCCGGGCGAGGACAATGTTCATTCTATTGGGTCTGCTCTTTCTTCGATTCCTTTCAATGAATTCAGCTGTTGTTTCATTTAGGGCACCCACATGGTTTTTACGATAATTATTTTTTTTCTATTCCCTGACTAATAAACAGCAACCACCAAATTATTCTAACAAAACTCCTCAGAATGATGAGCTTATCAGACGCTTTCCTTCTGCTCAGAGTCGACAATGTACAGGGGATTTCATCTTTCTGTTCGACTTCTTTGTGATTGACCGTTCGATGGTCGAATAATGCTTATAAGGTCATTTTGCCTCGGAGAGTGCCGTTGTGCGAAGGATAAACTACATAAATTTGTTGGTAAAAATTACCAAAATATTCTAGCATCACTTGTTTTTCTTGCTAGACAATTTGTTCGCAATTTTCCGAGTAAAATGTCGCAATTCGTAGTCTGCAGTTCTGCCAGGAACCAACTAAACCACAACTCCCCAGCTATTATGGTTTTTGGCAAACAGCTTTTCATTTGAACTGCATACGGAAACTGTTCATCTTCCTATCGCATATCACAGACGATGTTCCACCTACTCCATTACTTAAATGCATGCAATCGAAATTAAGAATAGGTTGCCTTCTTTTCTAAACTGGGACATTCCTATCCTAATATGATATTTTTCGCTGAATCCGGCTTTCTTTTCGCCCAAAATGATTCCTTATGATCTGGGGATGTTGTTGATTTGTGATAGGCTTATACTTTTGTCGTCGTCCCAGGTGTTTGGAGTCGTTGAACTTGTTGCCGGTGTAATTGTGGTGCAGCGTGGTGTGGCGTGATCGGTGCTTTTTTTACTCATTTCACATGTTCTATTTCTTTATTTGCTCCTCTCAGCATCATCATAGTCTACCCAATCGACTTGTCTGATCGTATATGATCTTGTCAAGGTGAAGGTGTAGGCGACCTTATGGGTTGCTCAATAAGGAACGATATTGTAGTTGTGTTCAAAATCAATATACTATCCTGTTTTGTATTGACTGTTGGACCGGAGAATATATAAGTATGTCTGCGTTCCTGTTGTGCAGCATTGTTCACTTTCAGTGATGTTCAAACTGACATCGGTCCTGCTTGAAGTTGAAAGTTGACTATTGGTAAATTTGAAAAAAATGGTTGCGTGATTTGATTCGTAAATCGATCGAATTGTTGGTCAGATTCAGGGTAGAAACGTTACCCATAATTTAGTATGGTGTAGTGGCTAATAGTAGCTAACTCGATGGTTATGCGTGAATCCTCGAGTGTCGGTGAACAACACGACCTGGTTAATCCGAATATGCATTGACTTTTTGCTTTAGTGTTCTGATGTCGAGAAATTGATACCGATACAACAGTCAACTCTGTTAATGCATTTTTTAATTGTTGTCTGTTGTGTTTCTCGTTATTGACGCGAGCATACAATCGTTATGATTGTTCAAAATATGTCTAAACCTACTTTACTAGTGGCTCCTGTTAGAGTGTCGATAGCAATCGCGTTTAATGAGGAAAGAATAGTTGTTTCCCACGTCGCTCTCACCGTTTAATAGTCAACGTGACAGAAAAGCTAACACCTGTATCTGCATGTCACGGTGCTGTTCACGAACGGTTATAGCTTTTGAGGCCTTCGAAATCCTCAGTATGGTCGGGGGTGAGTGTTTAGGGTTGCGGCTGGTCGCTCTTCTCTTGCACCTTACCGAATGCTTCTATATGACTGTTATGTCTTGATGTCAAGACGATGTGATCGATACGTACGCCTCTTGTCTAGGCCCCAACTACTGGAGAAAGAACACTGCCGAGAAACGACAGTCAGGGTGTATTTTTGATCATGAAACGACAAGCAAATATATGTGGTTAGTTGGTCG